ATTACTACTGCTACCGCTACTTCGGTTGCCACAATTACTACTGCTACAACGCAAACAACAGCAACAACTACAAGTGAGTTACAAATTTCCGCAGTTTCTATGTATCAGTTGTAAGGAAATGGTTCTCTTTGAAAAGAAGGAAACCTAGAAATGTTTGCCAAGTGTTGCATTATTTGATATTTTGAAGTGCCTGATGTCTTCTACTTTTTTGCTAGTTTTAAGTGGGTCATTGTGTTGATATATCTGGTAATGCAAAAGTTCTTGCATAAACTTAAAATTTCGAATCTATATCATGTTTATGGGTACGGGAGTTCCGTTCCCAAAGAACGGAACACATTTGAAAATTTATTTTCAGCGATTTTTGAACATATTAAAATGTTCATGTATATATGTACTACGTTTTGCCGGAAAGTTAGATTATATTCCGAGGTTCCCGGGAACCCAGAAGTGCTTGTGGAGTCCTGAGAATACGAACTGTACAATATATTATTTTATTTATTCTCCAAGCACACAAAGATAGGTGGTGGCGGTGTCCTATTAGCATTAGTCTTAAACTAAACCTACTGCTATGGATTTTTTTTGTGTTAGAACTGATATCGGTTGCGAAATTAGAATGCAGTTGCTTGCCCAATGAATAATTCGAGAACAGCTTAAACAAAAGACCTGTGGATGTTTTGTTGGAAAGAGGACACTGGAGCATGTCTTTTTTTTGAAAAAGCCAGTATTGAATGGGTTTGGGGACCAGATGCTGGACTAAGGGACTTTGTGAAAATGATGACATTTTCTGAAACTACGATAATTTTTCAATTTTTCTATGCAAAGTCCATGGGGCACTACAAAAGTTTTTCGTCCGGTTCTTTTAAAAGTCTCAGTTTGAGTTCAACTATTTTGTTATAATGCTTAGATATATTTAGGATTATGTGCAAAGTTTTAGACTTATAAGTCGTATGCTTGCTATAATACACCATTTCTTTTATGCGAAGTGCACGTGACTTACTAACAGATGATCCATAAGAAATGGTAGAAGTTTGCATTTCATATTTTGATTCCTAAATACGTTTTATTAAGAAAACAAAATGTACGAGAATGTGCAGCGTGAGAAGTTCTACAATTTCTATAGGACAGCTAATTTGATAGTTACATTTTTTGGGCTCAAAATCGGCAAAGTTCTGAGCGATCAAAATTGGACGCTGTGAAAACAATGTGATTTTGATAAAAGATAAATTCGTTTTTTCTTACTTCATCTTTGTTTTACGTGATGTTATCTATTAAACAAAGAAAACAATACGTATCACAAGATGCAGCGTGAAAAGCTCTACAATCTATACAGACGATAAAAAGATAACATAAGAAAAAAGAAATTTTACGTTCGTGTTATCTTTTCGCAGCGTCGAAATTTGATCGCTCAAAATTTTGTCCATTTTGAAAGTAAAACATACAACTATCTAAAAAAGCGGTCTTATGGAACTTGTAGAGTTTTTCACGCTGCACCTTGTGATGTATTTTGTTTTTTTAATAATACAACTTATTAACGGATTGAAAACTGATATACAGAACACGACCATTCAACCTGCTAAATCCGTTTTGGAAATCCCGTGTACTAATATAAAAGAAATGATCGACTACAATAAAGCACAAGACTTAGCAGTCTGAAATTTTGCACATATACCTAAAAATGTCTGAGCACTATAGCTGTATAATTAGTTCTTAGTCAAGTCTTTTAATAGAGCTGGGCGAAAAAACTTTTGTAGCGCCCTATGTAAATGATTTTCTAATAAAGCGCTGCACATTTTTATATAATAAGTAACGTAAGGGTAACTAATAACTAGTTATCTTTGCCGTTTATCCGACGGTCATTACGAGCCACTAGTCACATATTGAGTCAAGCTATATGCTCAGTCAGTAGTCTGAAATGGATAAAATATACGAACACAAAATATTAATGAATTATCTCTGGATCGAATTTCGTCACAAGAAGGTAATGCAAAATTTGGTTGTTATCTGGTCGATCGAAAATTTAGGGGAATATTGAAGGAAAAAGTACGTGAAATAGAGTTGCCAAGCTATCAACACCTAGAAACTAGGTTGAACAAAGAATGGGAAATAATAACTTGTGATGATTGTAATAAGAGGATCACTAAAATTGTTAATAGACTTGACGAAGTGATAAGAAATGGTAATGAAACAAATATATGAGAGTGACATAAGATTTTTGTGTATTCATAATCCAGTATTTTTCTTTTGTGAAACACGGCGTCAAAGAAGTATTGAAGTATATATATGGCGAGAAATTTGAATCCACTCTTCCGGCTCGTTCCACAGACCTCACTCATTAAAAAAACTGATTTTGAACCAAGAAATCTTTCAGCAGAAGTATTCAGTGGTTTTATATATCATAGGTCGATGACTGCATGATGTCCCGCATAGAAAATGGCTAAACAGACGAGTTCACACGCCTTCAGGCGAAAATGAAATCGCTCTTCTATTATTTTCATGTGGAGAATTTCAGTGAATGATGAATTATTTTTTCAAATTGAACGATTTGTCGTGCTGATATAGAAATATAATGTTTAGAGATGGTTCTGTGCGTCGATATAAACGAATTTTATCATGTTCCAAGAGTTGTGAAACACTTACCACAACCATTGTCGGAAAAGTCCATTCTTGCCCTGCCTTTTCCCTTCTAAGATAGTCTAAAAGACCTATCCCAAAACTTCCGCAATCACAACTAACGCCGGTGCAAATTGTCTTTCGTTCTATTTCTCACAGGCTTTGTTTTGAGACGAAACAGAATTACTTCATACTAAATATTTCCATTCTCTACTTAGCAACAACGACTGAATGCTGTGCCAGAACGTGCAGTGGAAGTTTCAGTGATCAAATTAATACCACTACTTGCAGCAGTATTTGTCAAGATAGAGGCTTCCTTTTTTGTCGTTCTGGTTCAACTTATTGTCCTGGTAGCTTCTTTGCTTCTGGTGGTTACTGTGACAGTGCTAATGGTGATCCTCCTTGTCCTGACGGTTATTGTTGTGTTTTTGACACTTATAATGCTGCTAGACCTTATCTTTGTATAAGGTGTAATAATCCATGTAAGTCAATCAGGATATCACAATTACTTCTTTTTTAGAAGAAACATAGTTCTTTTGTATTGGATAATTCTATTGTTTATTTAGCATTGCCGAATATTTGTACTATACTCTGAAATAAAATGTGTCATGAGTTAATGTGTCGTATATTCCAGCATAAAAATGTGTTGCATTCATGTGTCGTGAATTAATGTGTTGTACATCCCAGCATAAAAATGTGCCGCGTTCTGTCTGTTCACTATTCATTCACCGCTTTTGTTATGTACGCACAGCCATATATAAACAATATAGTTGAACCTAACAATGTAGGTGTTTGTGTTGTCAGTTAAAGAGATGCCACATTTTCGGATCAAATAAAAGCTCTCACCGCCAAACCAACAATATTAAAATATTAGCTACCATTGGCTTGCCTAGAGGGAGATATTCGATTTTTATGGTACTCACGAGGAGTGAAGGTGAAGATAGTTCTATCACCCTCATCTCACCCCACGATTAGACACGTGGAAGACGAGTTATGAGCTGCGGGGCTTCTATTTGAGTTCAGTCAATAGATTGATCTTGAAAGTATTTTCCAGCTCGTAACCTCGTTTTTCATGTTGACTGATTTGAATGATCTGGGAATAGGTGAGGGTTAGAGGAAGGGTCAGTGTAATCTGTAATGCAAATAAAATAGACTCTTTTATTAATTGAATACAACTGAAACTAGGGGTCTATACCATGTAATGTGTCACGTACAAAAAAAGAAAAAAGAATATATTCATGTAGATTAATTGGAATTAATACTATTTGCTCCATCGGGTTCATTGAGATGATCAATTTCTGGATCAATACCACCAATCAACGCTTTAGTTATATAATCACCAAGCGAAAATGGATAGTTGGCACCTCGGAAACGACGAATTTTCTCTCTTTCTGTTCGAAAATCATCGATAACATCAACATTAATCATTCTTCGATCCCAATCTGTTAAATAATTCACACAAGCTGGATCATCAGTGTATAATAAAACCAAGACATATGTAGCTTCGGATCGACGTTCACTCACCATTAGACGCTCAAGTTCTATCACATTGATGTTCCTGTTGTCGTCGGTTGGTGCTCCATGAGTAGCAATGAATATAAGAACTTTTTTATCATTTCCTCTTTGCGTTGCTGGCAATTGAAATATATGCTTTAGAGTACGTACCAATGGTGAATAACCATGGAATGGAAGGGAATTGAAAATGCTTGATCGATTGCTTGAGGATCGGTCACATTGTAAATAGGTTGTCGATTGAGAAAATAAATATCAACAAAACTTGCATCGAATACGGTACCTATTTTTAATACAATCTTCACTATTGAATGAAGTTCACCCCATTGTGTACGATCAGTACCATCTACCGTTGTCTTCATTGAACCAGAATCATCACAAAGAATAATAATTTCATAATCTTTCAGTAGATGAAGACGTTCACTTAGTGTTGTATCGATTTCATATTTAAGAGACAATTCATGAAGACGATCATTAACTATGCAAAATAAACACACTCAATAACGATTTCAATTTATAGAAATCATTAAAAGTATTACCCTCCTAACTTCTGCACAACAATTTGATTAACTTAAAGCGAAAGAAGATTTTCGAATTGTATTAGTTATATTTACTTATTCTTAGTTTATGTGGGACAGTTTGAGGACGAGAAGGAGAAGATTGTAGCGAGTTACTAAGTGTTTCTGCAATAAAAAAAGATTTTTGCTCATTAGAAAATAAATCAAGATCATTTACTAGTTTGTTCAGATTCCGAACGAACTGATTGCTCAATGACTATTTCCGATGAACGATCAACTGATAATTTTTTATCATTACTTTTGTTCAAAGGTTCAGCTGAACTGGAACCATTCGATTCACGTGAATATCTTGCTGGAGGATCTCTTACTCTTGAATACAGAAACTTTTTTTTTCTTCTTTTTTTTGTATTGACTAAATAATAGAAAAAACAACATGATGGAATGTTATAAATACTTGTATAAAATAACATGGATTTTGTATGAACAATGTCAATGAGTAAAGCAACAAAAAGAAAGGGTGGGTGTGGGTGTGGGTACGGATTTGGGTTCGGATGTGGGTATGGGTGTGGGTGGGTGTCGGCGTTGTGTGGATGCGGGTGTGGGTGTGGGTGGTTCCGGGTGTGAATGTGAAGGAAGGAAGAACATCACCTACACCCACATACCGACACCCACATACCGACACCCACACCCACACTCCACACCCTGTCTTCTCTTTATCTACAGGTACACCCACACCCACAGGGTGGGGTGTGGGTGTGGGTGTGGGTGGGTGTGAGTGGTGTGGGTGTGGGTGTGGGTGGGTGTG